TATATATCAGTATATATAAATTCCATATATTTCAAATTAAGGATCGGACTACATCAGCTAAGACGTTTGGTGCATTACTCAAAATCAGATTACAATTATGCATTCTCTCTCTCTCTCTATCCCCCAGTCTGACTCACTCTATCTGTGGCACGCTTTTTGCTTAATTTCACGCGAACTGCAAATATCAAATAATAATAATTATTATATAATAATAATAGATCACGTATTTTAAAGAAAGTCAACACATGTCAATATCACAATTATCAGATATTTTTAATGGCAAGAGTTGGCAGGGCATTTCCATTCCTCTGCAGTTAGCACTTCCAAGTGCTAACGCCAAATGAAAGGTCAAAGCCCTAGTCAACAGAGTGGGGCAACCACTTGATCAATACAGCGCACCATGCGGCGGCTGCATCTGAATAGAGGAGTCACGAACCGAGGAGTTAGCGGCTCCGCACGCATTTTAACAGCTCCGAGCAATTGAGAACGTAAATCAAGTGCAACATTCTGAAGCAACAGACCCGGCAGCTTCCTCCGGCTGACTTGGCATTCGCGTGGCAGGTTTATTTTATTTGCAATTTTGAACAATTTGTTACTTGCATGAGACTGCCGAGGCAGTCGAAGAGCTGCACAGGTGTATCGAGCTTGCTAAAAATGCAACACATAGAAACCAAGTTCTTGGATGCACTAAAAATAACATCAATAGATTTAATTTTGAATATTTCACTCTCATAGCCATTGATAAAGCTAGCTAATTTGCTTAACTGTCCAGTTACTGATTTTGAAACAATTGCATATTATTCTTTATTCTGTATAATACATATATTGCTTATAATCTGTATAATGAGTAATGTAATCTGTATATATGTATGCCATATACTTTTAGTATGTTTAGTTATTTTCATTTAAATATATAAAATTGACTTTGCATTTATAGTATTATCTCCTTGAACAATTAAATTATTATTATTATTATTATTTTTAATTCGTTCATAGTCTTAGCTAGCTGGAAAAACTTTCTTGTGCTAGATGTTGTATAGGCTTTCTCGATCTATGCGCATTCGACGAGTATGCTGTCTATAGCGTGGTAAGAGCTTGTTATCTTGGGATAATCGTTTCAGTAGTCGACAATTGCATCCAATAAATATAAACTTTAATGATAGCCTTATAGGGATACTGTAGCTCAATATATATGCATGGTGTGTTATCTTCGGTGGTCTTTATTGTTCTAGACAATATTTCTCCCCTGACCCTGCTCTAAGGGCCATGCTGAGTGTATGCAACAAAGCGGGTGGCAAGTGAAAAAATAACAAGAGCTGGCTGTGGTGACTCTAGCAACATTTTTAATTGCGTATTTAATAGATACCCAAGGACTCGCAAGTCGACACGGGACACGGTCCGTCCAACACACCAGCATCTGGTGGGATGTGTAGTTATGTGCGCCATGGCTGTCTGGTGTTAAAATGGCAACTGGTGTGCAGTGAAATATGCTCGAGCCAACAAAAGGAACAGCAACAGCAACAATTCCAATAGGAATAACGAGAATAACGCATACGCCGCGTTGTCCCATTTGAAGTTGTTCGCGTATACATAATTTTTATGTTGCAGGCAAAAAGCCAAAGGATTAGTCGCCGTAAAGCATTCAGCACCAGCAGCTGTTGAAAAAAGAGACAAACAGAGCATGAACAGTTTAATTGCTCAAAAGGAAATAAAAAAACTAAAGTGGCCTTTGCCATGCAAGCAGCGCAATTTTCCATGCTTTCATGATATTTTGTTGAATCAAAGTAAATCAAATCAAGTCAGATCAAATCATGTAAATATTGCTATGCACTTGCCTTTGCAATTTCCTTCAAGTAGACAGTTCTTATTGAAAACTAAGCATACGAAGACCTGACAGCTGCTTAGACTAAAGACTGGAATAGGTAGTTTCTCTATTTAGGAACAGAGAAGTCACATTCTTCAAAACTGGAGCTTAAAAGCCAAACTACGAACCCGATTCCTTAAATGTTATGTCCTCTCAACACAGATTTATTCAGAGCGCTCAGTGCTTGCATGTAAAATCGGCTTTAATGCTTTTATCATTTCGTGTGTCCTTGTTGGCACATTTGCCACACACTTGTGTGCATTTTGTGTTTTTTAGAAATGTTGTTTGGAAAGCGAAATGCTCATTTCAAACAAAACTCAGAAATTCCATGCAGCAGTGCGCACTTTGCGTTGCCGTCCTTCTGCCATGGCGTAGTATGCATTACCAGCCATGCGTAAAAATCAGGCCAAGCGCGTGAGAGCTAAATCTATTGTCCACATTTAGTATTTGGCACAAAACACACCGAACTAATGATGATAATCTCTTGCGCTGCTTGTGGGTGAATTCACGATATCCTTAGAGTGTTGTATTTGATCAGCCCGAGAGCTTGTTTAGCTCGCCACAGCTTCCACGGCCTGCTCGTTGATAGAGAATCATGACTTTTTGTGCGTCTCCAGTTGAGTGTGAATGCTTAGATAAGAATGCAATAATTGAAGTACATACAAATGATGATTCTTGATGATCATATAATTGACAGTTATCTGGTCGATGAGGGTCTTTTGTACGCGGAACCCTTTCAAACTTTGGAATTCAGGTTATACTCGGAACAAACAGCAGGAGGCTTGGCAGATTCCATAACCACATGAATTGTATATATATGCTAAAGATTGGGCTGCCTGCCTTCTGTCAGTCCGTCCGTGAGTATGAACACGTCGAAATGGGACTTGTAAATTTTACACATAGATCCAGTTTGCCTCAAATAATCGACAACTTTTTCAGCTTAAACTAATTAAATTAAGCACCTCAGCTGTTAAATTATATCTGTTTGTATATTTATACAATTTTGTATTATTTGCCATGCCCTAAATTTTCCGAAATTCTTCCAGTTGAAGCCAAGAAGTAGATCAAAAGCTGAAATTGTATTAATGTTAAACGTGGTGGGTTAATACACATGGATCTATAAGTCGAATCAACTTGAATAGACAACTACTAGTTTAATTTTACATTTATTACTTTACGTTAGATAAAATTGGTGTGATGGCAGCGCGGTAGATGCATCGTGTGAGGTTTCTTTTGGTCGAGTTAGCTCAGATGCGAATCCATAAAGTATCCCTTAGCAGTTCTACAGTGTGTGCACCTATGGGGCTATTGTGCGTATGCTTAGATACAAGCAGATCATCCTAGGTTTAGGATATATTAAAATTGGGTACTCCCGACTAGAGTCTTCTTAATTGTTGTTATGTAAATAATTAAGTTGAGCAATATGTTATGTTGTTAAAATTTGTTACTCTTACAATTTGTATAATTATAATTAAATTTGTTCAAGCTACATGACAATCTTTGACTACGCAAGCACTCAAAGTTCCCAAATGCTGCTACTCAAAAATGTTTTGTTAAAAAAGCTGATACCTTTTCAACACTTAGTACGCGAAATCGAAACTAGATGAAGTAATTAAAGCTTAATTTCAACTTTAATTTACTAAAATTGGACATAGCCAGTTCATGTCTTCAGATTTGAGCTCTAGTGTCTGGTTTAAGTCAACTCTGTTGTTACTTCTAGTCCAGACAACAGCTTCTTTTTCCTAGTCCTTCAGACTCTGTTAAAATCTTGCTTCAAATGTCATATTAATTTATATTTCGAATTTTCAGACAGTACTAAAAAATTAAATAAAATGCCATTTTGTTCTATCTTTGTGTTGCTCTATATAGTCAAAAATAAATGCGGCAATGAATTCCGCCCAACGGAAAAAACTCGTAGATTCAATTTTCAAACCGCATCCGTTAATTGTATAATGAAACTTTTGGGGTCACGTCAATATCTGCCAATTTTTCAGCGAACCATTCGAAAACTACTTAAATAGATGCAATCAAGTTTATTCAATTGTAAAGAACTTAGCAAAGAGAAACCATTTAACTAACGCTGAGTTAAGTCCGAAGACATGTCATATTCTGTGCGCAATTGCCTAAAGGAATGGACGGAGTCCAGCAATTGATAAATATCAAAGAAAGGCAGAAGAGCTAAAGCCAAATTAAGATGTTCAAGATGTTCGCACGTCTTTGGGAACAACTTAGCTACAAGTCTGTCAAAGTATTATATTTATACTACAAATTGCAAGCTCTTGAAACAGCTCAATATAAATGGGACCTTTGATAAGAATATTATCAATATTTTCCGTTTTGTAACTGTCATGCTGAAAATTGTAGTTTGTTATAAAATAAAATTTGAAATTGAATTTATTTAAGGATTTGCATGAATATTTTAATTGTATTATTATATTTTAATATATTATACTCGTTCACGTAACAGATTGGAAAAGTCTATACCTTTTACAATTGAAGAGCCAAATACAGAAAAGCTTGATTATTGTGTTACTGCTTACCTCCGCTATAGAAGATCCCAAGCCGTTTTGAAGCCTCATCAACAACACTTAACCCTTACGTTACTGTAGACTCCTATTTTATGACTAATAATCATATATCCACGCCATCTGGGGGCTTCAAAAATCGAGCTTACCAAAAGCTATATCATATGTATATGCCGCTTAAGCAAAATTGAAAAGTTAATGTAATGTCCACTGGAGACTTAGCACATATTATTAAAATGTTTTCCCGTGTAATCCGACTGCAATATTTTTACTTATTTATGTAATAATTTAGCGTGTGCTTTTACATTTTCACATTTGCGTATCTGGAACTCACTAGTTCGCTATGGACCTTGTCCTGCAAGCACAGATGTTTAATTTAGACATTGATATAAGCACAGATTTCGGGCCATGTCACACTCAAATTGGAAAATAAAAATACAAAGATGCTTTAATTAATGAAGGTAGATCAGTAGAAAGCCAAAGACGATTATAGTCCCAGATTCGAACTTGGAGCAGTTATTTATCGGTTCCTCTAGCTTAATTCACCTCATAACCTTAATATGCTTTTCAGATAATACTCTTTTTGCAGTCGTTTTATATATTATAAACTTCTTTTTATTGTTGTTTACCAAATAAATTTTTTCATGTTTAGATTACAAATCGTAAAGGTAAAATAACTATAACAAGAATATTCAAAGAACACAGAATCTTTGCTGCACCTGAAAACTCTATTATATTCGATTCCATATAGATGATGACTGACGATATAGTTGACGCATGTATTTTCTTCGATGTTTTGCACTGTTTGTGCAGTTCATCCGCGTACGTAAATTTAAATGGAATGCAATTCACGATAATGGAATCGTCCAACTCCATCGGATAGTTATGACCATTACAGTAGAATAGACCTTCACTGAGCACAAGATTGTAGCATCTAGTCAAGGGTCCCTCGTAGAACACAATAAGCAGCATCGTGGAGCCAAAATAGTCGGCACGCTGCCAGATGGAGTAAGGCGCGTTAATAGCGGGATTGCGGTCCTTATATTGTAGCCGAATTTGGCGTTCATACTTTCCGTGGCACACAAACTCCAGTATGTGGCCGTCGATGAAGGAGCAGTTCTTTAAGCCTATTGTGGTAACAGTAGCGGGGTGGAGGAGTAGAAGCAACCAAAAAGCAATCAAGTTTATAATGTAAGCTCCTGCGCATTGGGGGCTTACTGGCATGGCCTATAATATTGCAGCAAATAGTTTGAAAGTCATTTTTGACAATTTGTTCAAGAATGAGACACGAAAATCAATGTTAAAAAGTGGTTTGGTCGAACTGTCACAATTTGTACATATAAAGATTGTTAAAGATCCAAAAATATGTGTAATTTAGCTTATACAACAGTATTGATTGGTTGACTGCTAACAACCTTCAAAATTTCTCCATGCTCTGAGGTCCCAAACTTGAATTCTACGAATACCATCAACAAGTAAAATCAATTTCTTGGATGACACTTTATTCATTGATATGGTTTTAACAAATAATATTTTGATGGCTGCGAAACGTACTCAGTTATACTTAATTTTACACTAAACGCAAAGTTGCCGATGTTGCTAGGCAGCTTTGGTTTGGTATAACATATACAGTTTGTAAACCCGATATTCAGGCATTCATGTGTGTCTATAGTTTCTAGATAAAATGGTTTGAGATAAATGCTAGTCACGTCCAGCTGCCATGCTCTTCAGATTTCACTGCTAGTATCTGGCCAGAAATCGACATGCCCTAAACAGCTGTTATGGCCTGAGAGCAGCAACTGCCATACGAATTAATAGCAATAGAAATGATGCAGTGGAGGATTCGTAAGTGCTCCCCTTCATGACTGATTCTGCTATTCTTGAGACAATGGATAGTAAAGTGAAATAGTGATGTTAATAGGAATATAATAAATATATTTGTTGTATATAATGATATGGAGTAAGCAAGAAAGCAATTCGATATTTGGTATTTATGTAATTATATTATATTTACAGAGTTAATATTTAAGTTGGACAAGCTTCTTATAGATGGATCAGGATGAGCGCGATTCACATATATCCCTAATAATCAATTGGTTGGACCATTGTATCGATGTGTTTGATTTTGTGGAAGGAAATGCTATGCAAAAACAACAATATCAATGTCATTATATATATTATGACAAAATGGGATCGAAAAAGTAAATGAATGTGCAGTGACTAAGAGCTGACTAGGGACAACAACTAAGAGCTTCGATCAAGGAAAGATATTGGGAGACAGAAAAAAATGCATGGAAACCGAAGAATCACCACGGTATAAACATACCAATATCTAATGTCAAAAAAGACGCTGGCTAGTTGGAAGGAATCGTTATTTAATTTTAAAGAATTCTGTGCAAGACGAAATAGTTTTCTCGGTGTAGGCAGAGCAGTGTCTTGCGGCGGCCATACATTCTTCTAAAGTAAATCTAGCAGTGGGATTGTACTATAGAGCACAAGAAAACTTATTGCAAGGACTCTGCAGATTTTGTTGTTGCCCAGGCGGACGGATGCCTATCTACCTTACTTCGGCCTGTTCCAGGCAAAACGAAAACAATGATTCGATTATGTTTTGATGGTTTAAGCTATCCTTATATATCATCATGTTTTTGAGTGGTTCTCTGTTGTGGCCACATTGGATATGTATACTTATAATAAGTCGTAATGAAAGTGTTTCTATAAAAAGTATTTGAAAGTTCCCTGAGAACTTTCAGTCAATATAAAAAATTTTTACGTATAATGTTGGACTACGCATTAAAATTAAGACTCGTGCTAGTATTAGGTAGTTTGCATTTCGTGTTTGCCGTACGATCTTCATTTAACAACTGTTCCATGTATTTCGACAAGCCAATGTACAGGCTATGCAGGGGAAAGCTGACGAAGCAATTGCACCACCAGTACCGGGACACGTTGGTGCATGAGAATACTCCGTATGCCGTATTTTTGCCCGATCCTCTGAAGTCGTTCGTCTTTGTGACAATATACGATTCCCCGCTTATGAGTTGCGATAACGTCACCTGCCTAGACTACAATCTTTTCAAGTGCGATTTGGATCACAATATTAAATTTGCGGTGTCTATGATGTTTTGTTATATATATCCATTACGTTATGTTGAGGATCTCATAGACAACTGTATGGACACAAGAACTTCCAAATTTCGCATTATAGATAAGTCCATTTTACATTATGCCGATATCGAAAGTGGGTTCAAAGCGACGACCAAGAAATGGTGGCTACTGTCCATCACTCTACTGTTTGCAGTAAGTTGGTATCTCGAAAATTTGGCATTGGGATAACGATTGCGCGTCGAACCATTTCCTATAGCATATTTGAAATGTCGAACATAGCATGCTATATCAAATTGTTCGACATGTGAACGCAATCCAAATACCAAATATGGAGTGTTCCAACTAAATGCACAATTTAAGTATTATGTATGGATATATGAATATATCTTTATGTATATCTTATATATGCATATATGTACTATATATAGAAATATATTTATATGTATATCTGACTAAAGTCAGTAGCCAAAGAATATGAAAAATCCATTGATTACATAGGGAACTATTCACAGTGCTTTCGAGTTGGCAACGAGCAAGTCTTGCTGTTGGCAACAATTACTTATTGGCCACTCTTTAAATAAAGCCTGACTTTTTAACGAGCTTCCGAATGTGGGGTAAAAAGCTTTTTATTAGTTCGGAATCGACGATAAAAATGTTTCCAGATTAATTTAGTTTCCCGCTTGAGGCCAGTTCAATGTTGTACAGGGTTATTTGTGAGCGTGTGAGTAAAATTTCTAAGGACAAAAGCGAACAGCGTCGAAGGAGCCACGAAATTTATTGCGTGTCTCAAAATGTAAGCGAGGACTAAAATTAGGGGAAATTGATATTAAGGAATTGCATGAAATGCTTAAATGAAGCGTAAAAATAAACACGCCCGTCTAATGGACTGCCTGATTGCTGTCGCTCGGAACTCGGAACACATTTTAGAGGACTAGGCTGCACGACGGGCCCTGAGCCCACGTCCCCTGGTTAACGTGAAATGTGTATTAAAAATTCTTGGAAAACTAATCAATGTCGAATGTATTTTGATTGCGTTGAAGCCAGGACGCCACACCGACCGACCAACCGACCGATCAAAGACCCGTCCGCCCGCACGGCTGACTCCATCGATTTTCAACGCTGAGCAGACGAGCGCGTGATTAGAAGAAATTAGAAAATAATTTGCTTTGTTTCTTGTCATTCGCGGCCATAAATTTCTGGTGACATGTGCAGACTGAAGGAGTGCCGACTTCTCCTATCTCATACAATGCGATGTCAACAAAGCCAACATTGCTATCTATAATCAAAGCCTTTCCAATGTGGCTTCCTAACCTAGTCAGTCCGTCAGTCGATTGTTGTTGCTGAATTGTGCCTAGAGTTAGACAATTTCTATAGGGCTTACCCATAATCAGTAGCCATTTCTCTATCATTCATTTTAAAGGCATGTATATAAAATGAATTTGTAATTTTTGTTTGGATTAGTATTAGAAACATTTATTATATTAATTCTCAAGCCACGGTTATTCAGACAGGTGGACAAACTCATGCACTCTATGCGTCTGGCCTGAAACTATTTTGTATTATTTTTTATTATTCTTTTATTATATTATTATTTTCATTATTATTACTTTTTATGATGCCTTGAACTATTTATTTACTTCTATCAAATATGTATCTTTATTTAAGAACTTAGTTTGAATTAGTTTCATTAAATTATTGGCTATTTATTAAGTAATTACAGCAAGTCGAAAAAGGGTTCCTGTATCAACAAAAATGGGCATAGGATAAATTCCAATGTCTCCTTTTTGTAACAATTATTTTCTGGCCGCATTGCAGCTATGACAAAATTCGATGTATAACTTCGACCTGAATCAGCGTAGCCTGTTCTGGTTTGGAAACAAAAACGAATCGATAGATGAAACAAAAACGCAGCTGAAGTCATGAGTTGGTCTCATTAAGTGCAGCGACGCGATTCTTCCACCCTTTGTCCTTTGTCCCAGGAGAAGCTGTCGAATTGACATTTCTACTTAACAGGCGACAAAGTGAATTTCAATTTTTAATCGGGTTTCGAGCTGCTTACTGCAGCAGCGACACACATTACTTTTATTAATATGATTTTCGCTGCACTCGGGTGGATTGCAATTTTACATTTTATAATTTGCATTTTAATATTCCGATGGGCCTGGGTGATAAAGATGATGAAGATGCCAGTGTCAATGCATGTCATTGTGTTCTCCAATGAACAGCCATTTATCTGCAATTATTTGCTTTAAGCATTAAAACACAAAAGTTGCGTGGAATGCGAATTGCGAATTGCGAATTGCGCATTACGAATTGCTTCAGGCGCTTGCGAAAATACTTCAGCTCTAATGAACAATAATAATCTGTCCATTGTGTCCATTGGGACCAGCATTGGATCTATTGAAATTGTGCTTTTGGCTGTGACAAACAAGTTTGTGAAACACTTTTAAGACTTAAATTCAAGGACTATAAGAATATAAATACAATATTTGTATATCACAAAGTGCCTCCCGAAAAGTGAAGTCTATCTTGCAATTGATTTCCGGCTTTTCTTTGGATTACACTTAAAATAAAATTATATGTCTTCATAGGATTAATATAATACGTTTTTGTCTTGGTGAATTTAAGCGTGATACGTATTCTGAGACATATGTGAAGAGTTCAAATCCTTGCATTTCAGGTACATTTTTGATTGCGTATGCATAACTGTAAACTTATCTAAAATGTTGACTTAAAAATAAAAAGTTTCCAATCAGATTGCATATTATATTTGTCAACAAAAAACATTAAACATTTCCAGTAATTGAACTCCATTCTTCTCTGCAATGCGTCACTGATTGAACGCTCTCAAGTAAGCAAGTAAGCACGACTAATAGATACCCTGAACCCGGCGATGTGGTGATAGTCCAATCATTCTACGATTATTTTCTACATACATTGCAAGCAACACATGCACATACATATTCATACATATTCACACATACAAGCACATGAAATAGAATTTTCAAAATTTGAGTGAAAATTTTCAATTTTTATTGCAGGAACCTACACAGTAAATATAAAGTCGATTCTCGATTTTTATCGTTAATAAGGAAATTGGATGAGTTATCGAAAACAAGATTAATATGGTTTACACGAACTACATTTCAAGTCTCTAGCTTTTGGGCTTACGAGATCGCTGCGTTCAAACGAACGAACAGACACTCAGATATCAAGAATATATACACTTTATCCCTATATAAGGCAGACCCTTCTGCCTCCTTTTACACACATTTTCATAAAAAGTATTAACTTTTTTTAAATATCAAATCAAAAAAATTAATTGTTAAAATACTTGCAAAAAATATCTTTTTTTATTAAAGACTGACAAGTTGTAATTTAATTAATTTAAACAGCAATTTATATAAATGTAACCGACAACTAACCATGACAACTGGGTGTTGTCCCTCGAATAGTTGCAGAAGTGACCTTTGAGGTGGTCTCTGAGTGTTGGTATCATATGTTGCAGGGAGTTAAGGTAGGTAGTTATGATATAATTATATATATATATAATAAATATATAAGTGCTACTTAAGCTTACATTGCCTTGGCGACTGCAGCAGAGGATTGCCACAGCTTCCTCTCTGCTTCACAAAGTGTGTAGAAAATTAATTCACAAATTATTTATTTAGCTTTAAAATTCGTTCGTGTTGCAGCGTGCATTAAATTGCAGTAGTCCAAGCAGATTAGGACTCTCAGACAGATACAGTGAGCGGCTAGCCCGTTGTAGAAGTAGCCGATTATCTGTACCTTAACAAAACTTACTGTTACCTCAATATGTCTTACTTACAATAACCATCGATAGTTTCGATGGACATAATTTAGTGATTGATTGATAGCTGAAACAATTCTTTTAAACTGATCCGTTATAGTACTGAAAGGCAATATTAAATAACCTCTTCATGCCATTTATAATATTAATATATATATATATATAAATTTAGCTGGCTTGCTCATTTCGCAATAAAATATATGTTCGTCCCAGCAAATTCAGTAGAATCTATGAAAATTATATAGATGGAGAGCCTGGAAGATCCTTAACTCAAAAATTATAAATATATTGAAACATAAATATAGCTGACTGTGGAATATGGCTACGATGAATAGTATGAATGTTATTTGTTTATAGTCTTTGGATTATTCGAACTTTTAAAGCATTAACATTATCATACGTCTCATCCTGTTTGTTCAATATTCGCTTTCTAAACGTCTTCAATGACTAAAGTACAAATCAACCAATTAGCTTACGATAACAGTGATTGCTACACAGCCTGACGTTGTTGGTGGTGTTAGAGGCCTCATTGTAGTTGTTGCTTTTGCTGTCAGCTACAGAGTCCCTAATGCCATTCGGCGTAAGTGGCATTTCCTTTTGATTTCGGTGGCATTTATTAAGCACAGATTCGCTTTGCAAGGTAGCCTGACTGGCTGGCCACCCACACAGCCGCCCGTCGGCTCGGTTTGCTATAGTCCATGGCTCTTTGCGTGGCGTGTGCCTGGGAGATAGTTTGGTGCCGCTAAAATGGGTCAATATGTGCCTATATCTGCCGTTGCCTGGGCACACTTGGGGCGGCAGAGATACTCATGTAATATTCACCACGTCAACATCGAGTGACATCTTTTAAGTCTTTTGCCGGATTGCAGGCGTGTTTGTCTGTGGCGTGCATTTGGTTGATGTATGATCTCGGCTGACCTATGTCAGGTGTGCTGTGTGGCAACCACTTGGGTGTGGGTGCGCCTGCTCGTGACATAGGGAAACTTAAGTCTTCTCTCTAAGAGACAGTTCGCCTGCAATGCACGAAGCTACTCAATCATTTATTTCGCTGTTGATTATTTATTTAACTAATGGAAATATTCGATGCCCCACCATCATTTGCTCTGAATTATTTTGCCTGTTTGTCTACGTGAGCTCTGAGATTTGCTTCGCTCGCCAGGACACGCTCCTTTGTCACGAGTTCATGTATGCTAGCTACCCCAACTGCTAGTTCCTTTCCCCAGCGTGCTGCTCTCTTCGTGATACGTTTATGTCCTTAACAAATTACTTATTTTTTTCTATTTGTCTGAGACGTTTGTCCATATTCTCTAATTGATTTCTAGTTTCGACTGCCTAACACGTCTTGATTAGTTCGGTATTGAATGTTTGAAGTGCGTAGAATGCTTATTAGAACAGGAAACAATTACTTAGTATTCTATATTTGTGTATAAAACAGTTAGAAGTGATATATAACATAGATCTTAGTATGCCTTATCCGACAGGTGAGCTTATCAAATATATAAAACATGCTTAGCACCAACTAATAAATGGAAGAGCCATATACATAAAGTTAAGTTTGTGTGAGACTGAGCTCAACTCAATCTTCAATTGACTTTGCTTGGGCTTCTCGATGGCTTTTGTTGGGAGCAACCGTTAGCAAAAGCCAATAATTTTATTATAATTCATAAATCGTGCGGCTGAGAGCAGACACAAAAAACGTCTGAGATATGACAACCCGAAGCCCAGCTGCCAAGCCGTGTTCGTGCGTACAGCGTTCTGTGGCCGGTGAATGTAGTCGCAAAAACTAAACTTTTTATCAAGTCAATTTTTTACGTTAACTGCAAGCCACAACAGCAACAGCCGATGATGAGGAGGGCGACTGCGACTGTGGAGCTGACAGGCCAATCAATGGCATGGCCAAGGAAACTGCACAAAACTTGTGCCTTGGGTCCAACTCGGCAACATCATCGAGATCCTGGGCCCAGACCAGACGGCGGCCTTAACCTTTGCTGCCATATTTTTCAGTTGCCTTTTGTGCCTTTTTAGCATTTTATTCAATTTTGATGTCTTTGAAATAAGCCACGATTGCATTTCAATAACCTGACTGAGGATAAGGATAAGAGCACTGGGACTTAGCTAGCCGATGTATCGAATTATTATTCATTGCATCAAGAGTGCATATTAATAATAAATCAGACATCTATTGTCAACGTCGCTGCCCCAAACCGATTAACTTTAAGTGCTTATAGAACTTCGGCACTAAATTGCTTTATGTTAAATCAATTTCATTTGCCGATGACCCCTAAAGGGAGTTTGCTACTGCAGCTCACGTTATTGTTACAAAGTTCAGTTCAGTTGGTTCTATTGCCAGTTGCCGACTGGAGCTAACTTCATTGTGCCGCGCCGTCAACATACTTTTGGGGCTACGGCCTATTTTCTACAATAAGCAAATCAATTTAGCATTGCACAAATATCACATTAATTGTGCCTTCGTTTAAACCCAAGAAAAAAGAATTCTGGAGTGCTTAGCTGAAGTTGTTGCCACTCAATATTTAACAGAGACTTTAGCTTAAGAGATTCAAAATTAAGAATCGAAATAGATGGTCTGCTGCAATCCACTCCAGTACAGGTAGTTTTTAACCTTGTATTATTATACTAGTATGGCTAAGTTATCAAAAAAGTTACAGATCTTAACTCGAAACTCAAAAAGCTATTCTTGAGTATCTCGGCTCGTCATTATTGCTGTCAATTAAATGTGACAGGTTCCATTATTTACAACACTATTAACTCTACTGTCCTCTTCTTATTTCTTATCGCTACGCGGTGGTGATATGATATGTACAACTATTCTCCCATTATGTTCGCTATTTATCAAACTAATTCATTCCCACAATTCATCATCTTTTTGATGGATTGCTCAACCATCGCTTCAACTTCAAGCCAATTTAATGTTTAATTGAACTTTTATGTATTAATAATTATTATAGCAATAATATCTAGATCATCTCCTTTGTCTTACAAAACTTTAGCTGATGCACAATCCGTAGATATTCCACAGATAATTTGCTTCGCGAGCCATTTATGCAACTTTTTGAACTAATTTATATGACTTGGTTAATACTAATTTTACAATAGTTTACAATAGCATTAAAAATGGAAATTTTCTTAAAATAAATGTAACAGGCAGAAGGCGGCGTGGCACTCCTCATAAAGTATATTCTTGATTAAAACAAGCCGAGTCGATTTAGCCCTGTCCGTCTGTCTGTACGAACTCGCCGATCTGGTAAGCCACAAAGCTAAAAACTTGAATTTGTAGGTCCGTAAATATCGCACGCATTTCAATTGTGTTTCAAATAATCGACAACTTATTATTATCGATACAAAATGTTATCGAAATTCGATTTCTAAATTTCACCTCGTACGTCAAAGTCTAAAAATTTTATACAATTCGGATGTTTGTTAATTTTTTATACCAACTCGAAACCAAAAATTTTCCAAGCAGAGCAGCACTCGCAATTGATGTGGTGTGAACAGAGTATTGGTCAGTTGGTTTAGTTTTAGCAACTTGCTTACATTTCTAAGTCTTCCCGACTCACAATTTGGGCTGCCTGCAACTGCCGCCTGCTGTCAGACACGCTTTTGTTTTTAGGCATTTCTCGGGCTGTTGCAAGTTGCAACTTTGCTTCACCTGCGTAATATTTTATTTTCAACTTTCAACTCTGGAGTGGGAGTGGGTGTGTGCTGTATGCGTGTTTTCGAAATAGTTATGTACTTATAGTTGAACCCTTTAGCGTGCTTTCTTATGCTCGAGAGTAAAAGAGTTTTCGCAACTTTTTTGCCTGCACTGTTTTTGACTGCACTCGCCTGGTATGTGACCCCTCCTCCACTCTTCTCCATGTAGCAGGCCTACGGGTTGCCCTAAAACCTCCCGACTACTATGGTCTGTCTCTACAGCTCTCACTTTAGTTTTGCATTAGTTCGCTGCTGCTCTGCTTGTGCCTGCTGCTATCTGCTTGTGAAGCCCGTAATTTATTTCTTGTTTTGATTGAAATATTGCTTTACAAGCAAAAAGACACGCACACAAACAGGGAAAGGTTGGGGCCATGCCATGGCGGGACGACAGGGCTTAGCAAATACGCAGGCTCTTGGCTCTTGGCTCTTGGCTCTAGGCTGCAAGTTTGGCCGCCTGGCTGCTGCCTTCAGTTGGAGTGACGGCCTGTCTGAAATACGCACACCCTTCATTGTACACTGCTGCACTGAGAGAAATTTGTAGTAGGCTTAAATGAGGTGAGCCATGGAGAACACATTGCATTGAACTATATATTGCGTTAATTTATGGCTGTAAAATGTATTCTACAAAATTTGTCTCAAATTGGCTACGAACTGGTTGCCTTCAGCTTTGTCTGTATTTTCTCTGAGTGGACTAAAACTAAAAAGTTATTCATTTTAAAGGCACAAGCACTTGACTCAAGTGTTCTGTCTCTGTCTTGCTCCTGCTTGTGTTTCTCCTATTTTGTAAACAGGCATATTTCAATCAAAATTACATATCGAATATGTTGCCAACAAGCTGAAATTGGAAACAGAAGCAACAACAACATCAACATCAACATCAACATAAATATTAGCTTCAACTTTTTGCACTTGATTTCGTTCAGCCAAGAACTTACTGCAATTAGCTACAGGAAAGAGTGTAAGCGCACTAGAACTATTCATTAGTTGGTTATGATAGCATTTGACTCTTATAAAACAGTCTTGAATTTCCATTTCCACTAATCAAGCAAATGACGAAATGAATTCAAAGTTATTGTTAATAAAATAGCTCTTATGTTAAACGACTTTCGACGGCTTTTGTGAGCTCGCTGCGACTGGCAATAGCTGAATTGAATCGGCAACATTTGCAACAAAAAGTATGCCTTGTTGTCGTCGTCATCCGCTGTAACGCACAGCTTCATCATCTCAGAGACGGCTGCTGTTATTTCGTCTCTTCTCTGCCATTATACATTATAAATTGCATTATAATTCAAATTTTGCAATAAATCTCAATTTCAGCACAAAGGCGGAAAGACGCGAGGGGCGTGGGGCGAGGTAGAGGTAGGTACAGAGGCTATAACTTTATACCCCTGGACGCACCTTGAAAAGAAATGCCCGGCAAATCAATCGATTACGCGACTTAACTTTCCAATAGCTCAGCGACAAGCAGACAGCCAGACAGGCAGACAGGCAGACAGCCGGGCTAAGGGAAGAAAACAGCCAGTGGGACGAGAGGGCTCGCCATTATGTTTATGGTAATAATGGGGCTCGGCCTGAGATTGACTGTCGGCTAGTTGCCTGGCAAATTCAGCTGTCTGCCTCCTCTATTGAATAACTTATAAAAGAGTCAACGTTGACGATGTTAGTGCCTCTTTTGTTGTCTCTCTTGTTGTTGCTGCTTTTTTAAACGTTTACAATTGTATATAGTATTAGATGGCTTTGACTGCTAATAAAGATGTAGAAAGGCCCCTATTAAATATTTGTTCAGCAGAAACTCCACTACTTGAGGCATTCTAGTTTTAGCGATCTTCAACGTAATAATTGGAAAGGAAAAAGTCTTTGTCACATTCCCAGTTCTCTACAAATCGTTTTTGGAGTCTCTGATAGAGCAGAATAGAAAAGACGGAGAAAAAGGAGATTGCAAGAAATTTAGCAGAATATAGATTAAATAAGTCAAATGGAATTTTAAGTACTTCATATATTTCTTTTATATATTCTCCATAAATCATCTATCAATAAGGATAATTTCAGTGCTTGTTTGCTTAACTAGATTTGCCATTGTTATATGCGAAACATAAAAGACTATAGTAAAGGTCACGAAAATTGGGTTATGAAAGTATTAAGTCTTTAGCCTGGGTCGATAATCAATTTTTCATATAATCAGGTTGCTTGGAGTTTACATATGGATGTTTGCAGTACATGAGCATGTGATGATAATAGTCTCGTAATGGCTTTATGCACGGGAAATATGTTCGTAAATGTCAATTTAATTTCTTGCACGCACAATCGACGATCTAAGCCATAATGCCACGCCCACACACACTCGCACACCCACACGCACAAGAATATTCTTCTTCTTCTAGTTACTCCAGCAGGGCAATATTGCCAGTCATAAATCCTGCTTAAATTGTGCATGCAAAGGATTTTTGTTCCAGAACGCTGCCCCCCAACGCAATCCAAGCCATCAGCCTTGCCTCTACGTCGCACACTCGTCCCCTTTAGCTGGCTGTGCTCTTCTCTCTCTATGTTCTTTCTCTCTCTCTCTTTCGCACTTTGTTCGTGCATATGTTAATAACCGGAGCGTTGGCATCGGTGCGTGTTTATGCACGCATTCCATCTCCCTCACTCCTTGTGCGACTGTATCTTCTCGCTCTCCTGCCCTTCCCCATTCATCCTTCGCACAGTGCGCTGCGTTCGAATGCGCTGCTTTTTATTTGATATTATTACGATAATTTATTTGGGCAATAAATTTTGCAAGAAAAATGCATTAAATTTTTTCCCCTGTGCCAAAATTTCAATCTCTCCTTTTGTATATGTCACTTATGGCACTTTCTTCGTGTCCGTTTGTGTTTAATGCCAGCTCTCGCTGGCCGCACGCAAACTATATTCGTATTGTAAGTTATCTAAGGTTATACATTATCCATTATTAACACAATTAAACATAAAGTCTTCAGAGATTATATATATTAACATAATGAAGATATAATTAATAAAAAAAAATACTTGAGATATATAACTTGATCACAAACAAATTTCTACATGTATCAAGCCAGTAGAGACCAATATTTCTCACAGAGTAAGACAGCTTCAATGTTAACCTATTTTCAGAGTTATCTTTAAGTTATATGATCTATCCATAAGGAACGCGAATGGAATGTGAATGAATTGCAATGTTTACTTACTTCTGTATACACTTTACATATGCTATTCAATTATCTGTCGGGGTCCGTCAACAGGAGCTCATACTCCTCCTTAAATATTAATACTTAAGTTCCAAAATCGTAGTATTTACCCCTTCGACACAGCTCCAGTGGACGTCCCTAAGTCTCTAGTCCCTATAAAGGCTAGCGGACATTCGGAGAGGCGGACATTGCACGCACCTAATATTCTCTCTTCGTGAACGAATATAAAAGTTCTTAAAGATAGAAACAAATATTCATGAAGATTGCCTTCAATCAATAATAATTAAATTTACTATAATTACATTTTCTGATCTTATAGAAGTTGTTTATTGGATTTTAATGAGAAAGTATATTAATATATGTTGATTTACTAAAGAAACAGAAAATTTGAATTATTGAAAGCGAAAATAAAAACATTAAAAATAATTTTTGCCTACGATTCGCGACTCTAATTAAGTCTATAGATCTTTCAGCCCCTAAGAGAATATTTAGCACTCTTTTACTGAGCGATCAGTATTATGTTCTCTGTTTATCGATTAGGTTGATGATTCATTTTTATTATCTAAAAAATAGTTCTAAGAAATCTTTGCCCTGATCAGAGTTATATAAATATTTTTCACTATGATGCAGATGACGGTTGCTGGGTTTCTATTTGCAGAGCATTAAAAGAGTACAGACAACAAAAGAAAAAATATAAAATAATTTATGAAATGCATTTAAAGTGGAGTAAATAGCTTGTAAAAAGCATAAATCAAATTGTTAAATGGTTTGTGCATTCGACATTGTCTTTTATTATTTGTTTATACGTGTTTTTTAGACACTTTCATTGTGCAGCACAAATTTATCACTTTCTGTAACACTCGAGGCACTTTTTTTTGCTGACACATGATTTTCTGTTCCTTTTGTTTTTCTTTGCATTGTTGGCACGCTCAAATTAAACGTTCGTAAACAAAGTTAACGGTTCTAAGTTGAAATATTGTTAATAAATCACTTCTCGTTTCTCGCTCACATAAGCCAATAAAACATAATTCCTAAAAACAAGTTTTCATATGCTGTTGGCTTGCTGCTAATTGCTAGATTTTCCGCATGCAGCTCGTATGAATTCCGTATGTAACTTTTTAGCATATATAATAAACACATAATTTATTTAGTTTTTTTTTTATTTTTGATTTGATTACAACATAATTTGAAGTGTTCACATTTTAAAGTTTTTGCTTATCAAAATTATTTAGGTTATTTTTATTGTTTTCACTTCTGGTTGATTTAACCTCACAATTGGCCTCAGTTTTGGACGGTTTCAATCGGAACATAACTCCCAAGCACACCAAAACACGTCTAAAACTAAGAGCCATTGTGGGCATTGTCTGGGAAGAAACCGAGTTCACTTTTCCAGGTAAATCACAAATCCTTTCGATCCGTTACACAATCACGGAATGAATAATAACGGTGCAGATTGAGACTCAGATATGTTGCTTACCTATCCACAGCTCTTCAAATGGTATAAGGTAATACCTGAGGGATTACTCACCTGAAAGTAGTTTAATAAATGCAATTATTAGTTATTTCTTTGAAAGGTGAAACTTTGTCAAATGGCAAAAACTTAATATTAAGGTCTCATAGCTTATTCTGTTAACATGTGTAATCAATGTATTAAGGTTAAATTCATTTTCAGCCGGATTGTCTGCACTTAAAAAGCCACAAAACACTTGAAGCTGGCCGGCTAAACGGATAAAATTAATTCACGAATTGAATTATACAAGAGCAACATCGAGCACAACTGGAATACGCACGGAAAAGCCAGAATAAAACCGCAGTAGAGGGCACTTCTTAGATAAGTTGACCGTATTTAATAGGACGCATGGTTGGGCCAACCGAACCACTCGGCAGAGACACACGTACAGCATGTCCACAAGTGCGACTCTGTGAGTGTGTGTGTCTGTGTTTGTGGGAGTGGGTGGGGGCGGGAGAGTGTAGAGGTGGAGGTGTACGTTCTGCTTTCTGATTGAGATGTGGCATAGTCCAGTTGGCTGGTCATATTTTCATAAAATACACTAGCTAACAAAGTTCGTTAATTTGAATTTAAAAAACCTGAAATATTGCGAACAGAGTAAAAGTTATCTTTACTTGAAGTTAGTCACATTCAAATTAGATTTAAATTAACTTTTTTCTATATTAAAGATTTTATATTAAATGCTATATTTTTAATAAATTACGTTAATAAAATTAAAATTAATAAAATTGGTTAGCAAGCTTTAGTTATTTGAAAATATTTCCAATGTTGCTGGGATTTGATAAAAAGGTTCTTAAGTGCACAGAATGATTATTAAGCTTGTTAGCTGGTGTATGCCATCTTTTATATTGGTTAAGTATTTACTATAGCTTATTCTAGTGGATATCGCTCCTTAAGAGGTTGGGGTTCTTCTAATCGAAAACTCTCCCTTCAACTCTTATATGTTTACATTTTTGCTGTAATAAAAAGATATTGAAATGTTTGTAGCAGAAAGTTTTCGCTTTTTACAGAATTAACTTATCGAATCTCTTCCATGTTAGAAGTCAAAAATGCAGGAATTCAGAAATGTTGTTGACTAGTGTAATCATTCGATGTGTCGGGTTGGAGGCACGCACAACTTCTAATTAAACAAACATTTTGTAATTTCAGTTTAACGGCAAAACGACGACACGTGGTAACCTCTCAGGGGCGGAGGCCTGGCACAAACCACTTAAGTGCCAAAGCAATTTAAAGCGAGGCCAAAACGCAAAAGCGATGTTGAACAGTAAGCGAGAGCAGCACAGAGAATGGGTTCATGGATGGCTGGTTGGGTGGGTGGGTAGTTGGGTGGTTGGCTGGCTGGCAGTGTCTGCAAAAGAGTGAACAAGGAAAAGAAAACCATGCAACAAACAACAGCGAAGCCATCCATCTACCTCATGTGTGTGTATTGATAAGTTTACATACATATTTGAGTAAATATGTGCCCAACATATTTTGCAAAAATAAACATAGCCCCAAGCCTTACAAGCAACCTCACCCTGGTTGCCTGGTTAAATGTGCTTGCTTTTTATTTTCGATGGAAGCTAGGTCAAATATTTTGGTACACGCTGGTGGGGGACTTCGTTTATGTAGTTTAAATTTATTTGTTTATTTATTAACTGCATTTTGTTTGTTTCTTTATTTTAGCCCCGAGCTGTGTGCTCGTTATTGGGGCAACGACTTTAAATTGATGCGGGAGATAAGCTTGTGTTGCGATAAGCATTCGAATTTCTGCCAAGAATTTATAATTGCTGA